ATTTAATAATCACTTTTAACATAATTAAAACATCATAATTCATGTTATAACCTCTATTTTAATGACTTAATTGTGGGGGTTGATTTTCACCTATAAAAGGTGGATACATCTCATTGAAAAGGAGCATTAGAATACAATAATTTGGAAGGAAAACATTCTATATAATTTATACTATATTCTTATATTTCGACAACTCGATAAGAGGTCCGTTTACTTATCTCCCTATGGTCGTACACATAGAAGGGGAGCCATATGAGTTTTATCTTTGAGCCGTGTGGTGCCGAAAGAACCCGCACGAAAGGGAAGACAACACGACTTTAGGACAGCATTTTCAACGTGACTCTCAAGGTTTGCTTTTCTAACCCTCTTCTTATTTTATATTATTGTTGAATTATATATATTTATGTCATTTAATTGATTATGCTAATTGATAAATTTATCTAGACATAAATAACCAATTTTCCCAACAATCTAAAATCATATTGAGTGACTTGTATGTAAATATTCTTGTTGTGGTATTTAATAGGTAAAGTTAGCGTGTATGTTTTACTTGTCCACTTGATTATAAACATTCTAAAACTACATTATTGTCTTACTAGAATAATGTGTGCGAAATCTGGAAACTGGGCAGTTTCTTGAGGCAAAAACCAGTAATTAGAAAACTGCCCTTTATGGAGAAAGGGAGACGGCCGTGAATTCAAACTCTTCCAAACTACTCAATTTAATGTACAAATACCCCAACTCTCTATGAAATAAACTACACACCATACCGTTTATTTTTTAGACAACATTTTTCCTGTATCTCAATGGACTTACAATCTGTTTGATAGAACTCAAAGTGAGTAAATAGAAAGGAAAAGATTCGTTTTGTGTAGTGGGAGTCCAAGAAAAGAACACCGACTAAAGAAGAGAGAAAATGAAAGCAAAAGGAGTCTATGCTTTTACTTTTTTTCAAATTTTATTGCTTCAGGTACTTTTGATTCTTGGGCCTTGTCCGCACATTACAGATTGAATCTTTATGTTGAAAACTAGTACATTTTGTTGAAATAATATCAAGAAGGAAACTGAAAAAAAATAAATAAATTATAAGCTGTGTTTAACCTCCCTTGTTTGTATGTATTAATGTCTATCACTGATTATGACTGCTGAGGGGCCTGCATGACAGTTCTGATATAATAAGGGACTCTTGCTCTAAAATAAAAATAAAATTTCTCCACCTTTTATAAGTTCTCTGCAATTATGAGTTGTTTTGGGTACTTATAAGAGTTATTGTTGAATCTTTCTTAGAATTAAAGACTTGGATCAATTAATTTTTGATATTTCACCAAAAAAAAAAAGTAATAATAATAAGTTCAAGTTTTGTTGGAGCTTTAGACCTTGAAACTGGGCTTTGTTGGCGGTTTATCTACTAGAAAATTTCAGATAGATTATTCCTGTGGAATGAATCCTTGAGAAAAGTTGAAGATGGCTGGAATAGAGATTTAAGTCCTTTCAATTTAAATTATTTGGTAATTATTGTACACACTTCTCATTAAACTACTGTATGAGTGCATGAAGAAAGTTTAGAATTAAAAGACTTCCCCACCAAAATTTAGAAATTATTAATAATGACCTATAGCAACTTAATTACTTTTGAGAAGTATTGATGTTTTATAGTAATTTTATTTATCTAATTAATTTTAATGTTATCATACAGTGACATACAAATATTTAGTACAGTGATTCCTCAAAAATGTTTATTTGTTAACATGAACATCAATTAAGTATCTTGTTTTTCAATTTTGAAAAATAAATAGGTTTATTATTTTTTTCAAAATGAAGTTGAAGAATAAATAAAGATGAAAAAAGAAATGGTACATCTACATCCAATGAGGATTGCAGTGAACTTGGTTAGTGTTATAAATTTTGGTAATGCCATGGTAATAATTTTAATAATGCTATGGTAGATAATTGATCGTTTGCTAGTTATATTCTAAAATAATCTATGTGCACATAGATGGTAATGAAAACTTGTTGAATAAATTATGTTACAACATAATTGCTTTCCATTTAAAAATTTATCTTAACCAATTGATGATAAAAGTCATAATGTTTCAAAGGGAAGTTTTATATTTTAAACATTATATAAATATTGTAACCAAATTTTCAATAATTGAAGTTATAATATTGTATAGTAAATTTTTTGGAGTGTTACATTGGTGATTATATATGATGGGGTACATTTAACTCATAATTAAAAAAATAAAAATAAAAATTGGTCCACAAATTAAAGCATGTTTGCTTAGATGGAAAATAAAATATAACAAACAAACTTGAGTGACAATTTAAACTTATCTAATTGTCAATTAAGTCCTTAAAGTTGGTTCACAAATTCCTTGTATGGCTTGTTTATTTTCCTACAAGACATGGTGCAAGTGTCTTAAATCTTACAAGGCAGATGTGATGAGAATGTGAATTTGATTTGTGGTATGATTTTAATCCTTTTCTTGATTAAATACACTCTTACTTCGGTAGATATATTAAATATAATCAATATTTGTTTATAATTCGCTGTTATGGAAAAACTAATTTGTGAATGTGTTTAATAAGAATTTGCGGATCTATTGATGGAAGGAAATCATGGAAGTGTGGGGGTGTTAAAAATTTCACCTTTTATTTTATTATTCTTACTAACTTTTGAAAAGTGTTAGAAATGAAATCGAAGACATGTAGGTGAAATCCAAGAGTTGAATAGATGCACATGTTCAAACATGTCACTAGAAGTCAATTTTACATTTTATGTATTTATCTTATTATACTTAATATGACTTTGATATTTTGAAATGTTTTTAGAAGATTTTGCAGATATGCAAATATGCAAGCAAAGAATAAGAGTTGCACAAATTGATGGTACTAAATTCTTGTCCAAGAGGGACAGATAAATTGTAGTCCAAGATGGCATACATAAGTCATCTAGTGGGACGGGCTTAAGCCCATAAAGGAGACACATCCGAGAGTAACCCAACCTTTGTGATTGGAGATCTCATGAAGAAAGTTCAATATGATAAAAACAACTAGCACTGTGTGACTTATAATAGCACTATTTTATTTGTGCTCATCCCTATGGTGATAGTGCTAATAAATGTGATGTTAGGAAGGGTTTAAACCTGAATGAGTATCGAGACGAAAATTCTCGTGAGGTATGGTTCACACACACCTTTGGAGGACTCACCTATGTAAGAATTGTCATGAGGCCGTGGCTATGGGATTGGGCTATTCCCTAGAGACTCTTACTAGAATCAAAATTAAAGCGCATGATTATTAATAGCACTATTCGCAATGAACTGAGTCTAAATCTATATTGTGTGTGGAACAATTGAAATTTGGCCAAAGGGACCTAATTCAAGGTTTAGTCCATTATGGCTCCCTCAAATGAAAATTATTATCACTAAGTGAGATTCAAATCCAAAAGCTACCTACACCTATTGCACAATATTATGTTGTCACTATTATATATTTTTAACTAAAATAAAGTTATAACTTAAAATAAAGTTATAACCTTTCAATATTTAACCCATTTTATTTTCTGTTTTATTTATTTAATAATCACTTTTAATACAATTAAAACATCATAATTCATGTTATAACCTCTATTTTAATGATTTAATTGTGAGGGTTGATTTTCACCTATAAAATGTGGTTACATCTCATTGAAAATGAGCATTAGAATACAATAATTTGGAAAGAAAACGTTCTACATAATTTATGCTATATTATTATATTTTGGCAACTCGATAAGAGGCTCATTCACTTATCTCCTTATGGTTGTGGCCGTAGAAGGAGAGCCTATGGATTTTATCTTTGAGCCATGTAGTACCAAAAGATCTCGCACGAAAGGGAGGCAACACAACTTTAGGACAACGTCTTCAACGTGACTCTCAATGCTTGCTTTTCTAACCCTCTTCTTATTTTATATTATTGTTGAATTATATATGTTTATGTCATTTAATTGATTATGCTAATTGATAAATTTATCTACACACAAATCAATTTTCCCAACATCATCTAGGAAATGTGCTATCCCAGCTGAATAGCAAACCTAGTCAGAAAGTCCAACAAAAAGTGGCGAACAAGTATTGGCCTCTCCGATCTTAACAAGGCTTTCCCGAAGGATAGCTTTTCCTTACCATACATTGATTAATTGATTGATGCGTCGATGGGGTGTGCCATGTTCAGCTTTATGGTTGCTTACTCGAGTTACTATCAGATTTTCATGCATGAAATTAATGAAGATTATACTTATTAATAATAGACCGAAACTAATATTGCTATAAAGTGATGCATTGTAAACTGAAGAATGCTAGGGTACCTTGGTTAATTGGATGTTTGCTTATCTGATCAAAAAGACCATGACGTATACGTTGATGACATGATAATGAACAGGCCGAAGGTAGTTAAGTACATAGCCTATTTTGAAAGCATAATTAACATTCTTTGACACTACATAATGAAGTTAAATCCATTAAGGTTTGCATTCAAGGTCGTCTAGTCAAGTTTTTAGTATTCATAGCTAATGAAATGGGGATCAAGAACCTTTCAGAAAAAAATTAGGCACTTTTGGTGATGAGTCCACAAAAATTGAAGGAGGTTCAAAGTATAATAGAAAGGATATGGCCATCAATAGATTGATTTCGAAGTATATAGATGTCTCACTTTCCACAAAACTATCAAGAGATGCTGAAGAAATTAGAATGGAATTGGAGTGTGAAGAGGCCTTTGTAGCCTTTAAAGCGAACTTGAGTTAGGCTTCTCTATTATCTAAGCCATTTCAAGAAGAGGACTTGCAAATCAATTTGGCCTTCTTGATAGGGTAACTAGTGTTGTACTAGTCCGAGTCAAAGGGATACAAAAAGTATTGATTCACTATGTGAGTAAATCCATTCAGTACGCTGACACAAGATATCAGACAGAGAAAATTTCCCTCTTACATTGATAACAAAGTTTATGAGAGTAAGGCCATATTTTAAGGCTTATACCATTGAGTTATTAACTAATTATTTGTTATGTCAAGGTTTTTCAAAGCCCACTCTTTATAAAAGTCGATGAAGTGGACAATTGAGCTAAGTCTATTTGAAGTCTATTTGAAATCCAATTTCAACTGTGAACGACTACCAAGGGTCAGGCATTAGCAGAATTTCTTGCATTATTTACTGAGGGACCTATCTTTCCTAAAGATGTCGAAGACCCTGGGTCAATGCTCAGAGGATATGGAAGCTAATTTTTGACAACTCATCTGGAAAGACAAGATCGAGAGCAGGGACGATCCTAATGATTCCAGAGGGACATCATCTGACTTGCACCCTAAGATTCGATTTCCAAGCCTTAATAATGTAGCAGAGTACGCAGAGTTTATAGTTGATCTATAATTGGTGAAAGGAGATAAAAATAAAATAGGTACAAGTTAATAATGACTCCCAGATGCTAGTGACTTGGATGGATGGGATCTTAGCCCTGAAAAATATCTTGACAAGTTAGAAATCCTTCAAGTCTCTCTAGTAGATAACAGAAGCACCGATGCTCAGTCCAAACTAGCAGATAACATAGATTCCGAGTTGTGGAAGGTAATTCTAATGGAATTTCTAGAGAAGCCCTCAACCAAGGCCAGAGATGAGGTAATGTTTATTATTCAACAGCCTAAGTGGATGAAAGATCTCTCAAATTACTTCTTGGACCAGAGCTCCCATATGACTAGGTTAAAGCCAAAAGCTGAAGCTGAGAGCAGCTCGTTTTGTAGTAAGGATGGAATCCCTTGCTACACTGAATTGGAGGAGACGAAGTAGAATACCTATTGTTGTGGTAGATAGAGGAATTCGTAACAATGGAGAAGGTGGTTTATCAATAGCCTTAAAAATTTTGAAGTAGAAATACTACCGGTGGATCCTAAAAGGTTTGTTTTGGTACCTCGTGCTTTAATTGATTGTAAGTTAGAGCATTTCTAGTTCATAAATTGGGCCATTATATATAATAGGTTTTTGGTGCGGATGTAGTTGTAGTGGATTTTGATATCAATAACATATTATGAATTATGATATATAAATTTGACCAGCATCATCTGAGATTAATTGTTTTGAAGTTCATAAAGAGAGCTCATTATATTTAAGATCAGTTATCCTTTGGGTAATTAAATTAGCTAAATGATCATAATGCTTGAATAAGGATATCAATTACTTTGGCATGTTTGGTAAGCATTACTGCATAGGGTCTTACAGCACAGTGGACATGATTTTAGCATCTTTCTGTTATGTAATATTGTCTAATATTATGCATTCCACCTTATTGCAAAAGCCATTAATGTCTAGATCATATCTTCCATTCTCCATAACGTAAATTCACGAGGAATGTTGAACATTATGGTTGTTCCTTTTAATTTGCTTTATAAGTACACTGTTTATAATATATAAACCGAGATTCTTGATAGTTCTTCACAATATTACGTACACGCTTGCTTCTTTCTAGACTATCTTTTCTGTTGTTTTACTTCGCTTAAGATAGTTATATTACAACGTTGAGACGTGGTCCGCTTGTATCGTGTTTTTTGCCTTTTATTGTTACAGTTAAATCTATTATGTAGATTAATTAATTATTTTTCGCATTAAAAGTCATCGTGTGGGGTGACGTTAGGTTTGGGGTTACCGTGAAGGGGTAACCATTGTGTGTTGCTAGATTTAGGAATTATTTGCCTTAAATTCTTTGTGAATGTTATGCCAATTTTTCTACACTGTTAGAATTGCATATAACCTTAGGAAAGTTTATTTGATCATTCTATGTGAATTATGTTTATATTTTTGCTTGCGATCATTATTTGGTATTGATGACATATATAAGTCTAAAGCAAGTGAGAAAAATAAAACATGTTTTGACTGTGGTAAAATTGGACATGATGAGATAGATTATCCTAGTAATAATAATAAAATGAAAGATAATGAGAGAGGTGGGGCTAATGTGGTTATAGGGTCCAGTGATGACCTGTGTAAGGTTTATTGAGAGTAAACTTGGTTACTGCATTTGCATCTGTGTGTAATCATTTCTATATTCATGTGATTGCTTAATTACGTTGCGTTGGTATGTTACACTTTTAATTTGTTTGATGTGTATAATTGCATGAATTAGAGTAATATTATTACTTTGTATAATGTGTTTGCATGCATAGTAGGTCAAGTTTTATAGCATACTCCGTTTGCTCTATGAGTGGCGTAAGAGTGCGGTAGTGAGAAGAAAGATGGACAGTCATTTTCTCCTTTATCTCTGTGAGCCTGTGTGGTTTGTGAGATTGTGTGAGGCAACCAGGTAGGATTATCTTCTTTCTCTTTGTGAGCTCCTTTTGTGAGTGTAGTGAAGTAACCAAATCTTTCTTCTATTCCCTTTATGAGTACCACCTTCGCAATTTTCTTTGTGGGTTCTTTGAGTATTGGTGTTTGGGGTAACCTTGTGGTGCGTGAGTAAATTTAAATTAAGCCTAACCTTTATGGCCGCCGAAAGGTGTTGATTTGTCATAGTGAGTTTGAGATGCATTAGCAGTATGTTGAGTGTCTATTGGTAAGGTAGAGTATAGATGCCTGAAGGTGAATTGGTGATATGCATGGGGATGTGAAATGCGACATTTGGATCATGAGTTGAGAGGTGATTAAATGTTAGAATCATTTATTTGTGAAAAGACCCTGTACAGGTGGAGTGTGAGAGATACACTTCTATCACTTATGTTAGGTGGAGACCCATTATCCACGTAAGTTGGGCTAAGTAATGTGGTGATAAAGGATTATCCCTAGAACTTAGGATCTATTATAATTTACTGGTTAGATGTAAATTGAGTGATTAGTTTAGTGAGATTAGTGGGCGATGAGAGGAGATATGCGTTCTCAAGTTGTGAGCAACATGGAATGTGATAGGATAAGTGTGGTGAGATCTTTTCGTAGGGTCATTTATGCATTTGTTGCATATGTGTTTGATTAACCTGGCTTTAATCCGTGGTTCTATGTGAACGTGTTTCTGAAAAGATCTATGTGTGTTATCCTATAATATATCATCATCGTATGCTCATTTGCTCTTAATTGTTTGCTGTGAATATTTGCTTCTACTTGGGTGTTCTTGATTTTAGCCCTGGTGAGTACATAAAGTAGGTATGGTATGTATTTTCAGGTTGGAAACATGAGATAAAGTCTGTGATCCAATTTTATTGGTTATCTTTATTATGCAAGAATAAACTTTATGGTTTGATTGCTTGCAGATTTATTGAGTATCATGGTGGAGATTTGTTGGGTTTTGATACTCAATAAATTTGGGTGACAATTTAAAACAGTTGTCAGATAATTTATCGACAGCATAGACTTGATTCAACTCGAAAACGACCTATACTTTTGGATGCCCTAAGTTTTGGGTTAGATGTTTTTTTTTTATTGTGTGGTCCATTTATTTGTAATTAAGTGGTAGCCCATTTGTAGGGAAGACTGTGGCCCAATCTATATGAGTGACCTAATGTCTTGCTATATATATGTTTTGTTCCTAGCCGTGTCTTCGTGTGTGTGTAGTATGCAAGAGAGAAAACAAGAAAAGAAAAGAGAAAAGCAGTCGACTTTCTTCGGAGTTAGAGAGCTTGGAGTGTTTTTTGGTGTCTTCCTTTATCTTTCTCCTTCCTTTGCCGAGTGCATACACCACCACCATAGTCTCCTTTGTGGAGTGAAACTTGTAGTGACCAAGTGTGGAAGTTTTAGGTCGAATCGAGATAAACTGGTGTTCGTTTGGTTGTTTTCTCCTCCAAAATCAAGATTTCTTGAGAGATTTCCATGACAATTGTGATGTAAAGGAAGAGTTTCCCAAGCGGTCAAACTTCATGGAAGTGGTGCCTCTACTTTATTCCAGTTTTTACCAAAAAAGGAAAAGGCCCAAATTTGCATAAGAAATTATGTCTTCAAACTGGGCAATTCAGCTCCTATTTTTCTAAGTGAGATAATTGAAATGAGAATTCACGCAGCAATTCTCTTATTATCTGTTTTAATCCTTAAAGTTGTTGTCCATATCACAAGAGATTATGCATAATTTCTCTGACATGTTAGCTCGAACAACTTTCTTACTTGAGTTTTATTGCCTATGTCTGTGAACTTATCATCTGAACAAAATTTAGTGCATATTTCAGGGTCATTCGCAGGTTTTGGATTTTTGTCATTGTACTTATCTGGTAAAATTAAAGCGTTTGATCAGAGGGGTCATGTAGCAAAACTATGCATTGTTTTTCTTCCTATCCTTGTTGTATATCTTGTTGGCATTTCCCGTGTGGATAACTACTGGCATCATTGGCAAGATGTGTTTGTCGAGGGTCTTTTAGGTTGGTTCTTTGCTGTCTGTTAAATTACCAAAGTTAAGTCGACCAGATTATTTTTCATCTTCACATGCATTACATCTCTACATCTGTATACCTTTTCAGGTCTTGTCGTTGCTACATTTTGCCATCTATAGTTTTCCCACCTCCACATCACACTGAAGGTAAAATTTCCACTTCGTTCATATCCTATATTTTGCTCTTCATTTAAGAGACTCCACAGTGTGAAATTCTGTTTTGCTGGATACACATACAACACTGATACATTATTACGAAGAACCTGTAGCGAAATTGAAGAGTTTTCAGTTACTGTTGAGTCCCATTACACAAATTATCATTGACGCCGATTTTGTTGGGTTAGCTTTTCGGTAGGGAAGACATTCCAAGGACGAAATGCCCTAGCAGTGAGTAGATTGTCTCTTTCATCATTTTACAATAACAAAAAAGTAGTATAGATATGAAAAATGTGAAATTTCAAATGACACAGGAAACAATATTTAATCTAAAGAGAAGTTTTTGTGTTGCAATGCACTTTCGCAGGATGGGGTCCTTGTGCCTATTTCTGAGCGGAGGAGGAAATTGGTTCCAACCCACAAACAGTCTAATCTGGGAATGGAAGTAGCAAGCAACGAGTAAATCGGCAATCTATGCCGAGCAACATGACATAAAATCACAATTTGAACGATGACATGGAATGGAGTCTGGTAGAAGGTAGATAAAAAATGTTATCTAGCTCCAATGGGATTACAAATTTAGTCTACATGGCTTTAATGTAGCATTAAATGAATGGCGAAATTAAATAATATATTTAATTTCACCTTTCATTTAACCTATCACCTAACGTCATAAAGATTGGGGTTATAACCCTAGTTAGACTAAATAACATTACTCGAATGTAGATTTGGCAATTTGGCAATTATCTCTATTGTTATGTATTTGAAAGCATTATATTGTAAAGAAAATATTATTTCAAATATATGTTAGCTCAGATTTTCATCGGAGTAGATAATGTGCTATTTGCCAAATTCCTTGCTCTTTGTGACTTTTTTTGAAATTAAAATTAGTTCTGAATGCTGTGGCAATTTTTGATTTGAATTACTTTATTTAACTACTAAAAGGTAAAAGAAATTGCTAAAAGTTTACAATTGCAATATATGTTTTAACACAAATAATTAGGATACTAAGAAGAATTAAGTCGTATATAATAATAATAATAATAATAATAATAATAATAATAATAATAATAATAATAATAATAATAATAATAATAATAATAATAGAATGTTTATAGACTTACATTAATCTAACACAAAATTAAACTAATCATATATAACCAACAACATTCAACTATTTCAACCTAGTTATTAAACCCGAACTAGTAGTCAACTCGAAAAAATTATCAGATCACCGAGTCAGTGGTTCAACCAATGACTGAATGTTTGAACCAGTGGGCCATTGTTAGATCGTAATTTTAATTAAAAAAATATTTTTGAACTAAAAAAAAGTTATTTTGCTAAACCTTAATATATGTGTCTGATTCGCAATATGTGACCAAAGTTTACAAGTTTCTCAAATGGTCAAGAAAGTGAAATATAGCCTTGGAAGCTAAGGTTCGAATCATTGCCATTGCAAATAGAGTATAACTCTTACATTGTGCCCCTATTTGATTTCCATTCTTTTGAAAAAAAAAAAAATATTCTTAAACATTATTTTGACGTCATTTCAACCACAAATTCTTTAATAAATAATATTACCACAAATCCAAATTTTTTCTTTATTTTTTAATCGCATATTTTTTATCAATACATTATTAAAAAATGCATTCTTATAAAAAGAATAAAGCTCAAACAAAGGCTGTAGTTTGGTTACCATTTCTCTAAATTTGAATATATACATTTGGCTCACAAAGAAGAGCAAAGACTAGCCATTCAAAAATGGTTTTTTAAAAAAAAAAAAAAGAAAAAAAAAACTCCTACTTGAATGCTAAGGTTCGAGTCAATCCTTATGCAAATTGGAGAAAAAAATTTACATTATAATTGGTTAACCACATTGAAATGGGTTAAGAGTAACTTAAACCTGTCCGAACCGGTTGGTTGCTATTCAACCGGTTCATGTTCAATTCATTTGCTTGTTTATCCAATTAATGAACTTGGACCGGACCACCGTTCGCACTACACCAAAAATGGTCTATTGCAACACATAAAAAGCAACATTCAATAGATAAATATTGCTAAAAGGGTCTATTGCAACATTTGAATAAGTGAATGTTGCAATTACTCAATGAAATTGAGTTTTCACAACATTTTTAGAATAAATGTTGCCATTGATACGTTCCGCAACGTTTTTCAAACCGGCCAGCCAAGTCGATTTTAATAACTGTGATTTCAACTTTCACCTTACAGAATTTTTTATGTTACATGCAACAAAGTCAATATTTTTATCCATTTAAAAAATTATATACGTAAATGTTTCAATAATTTAAAGATATAAACATCAACCCGTCCATTTAACCATATCACAATGATACGTGACTTAGCCAGTTGAGTTTGATAACTATATATATCTAGTGACAGATCTAAGAATTCGATTGAGCATGAGCTGATTTAGGTGAGCACGAACAGCTACTCAAAGGTCGCTTGAATTTTTTTTTTTTTTGATGAAGCTAGAAACAGCGATCATAGGGACTCATTGGGTGCTAAATTCGCCCCGACTATATTGTACATTTTACAGGCTCATCTCAAACTTGATTCTATAGATAGGCAAATCCAGCCAGGATCGCCTGTATCTAGAGCAGGTAGATTGGTCAATGCCCAGCTGGATTGTTCCAACTCACTTTTCCGTCATTGAGCTGCACACAATGGAAAAAATATTGTTATTTAGTTCCATTAATATTTAACATCAGTTAGGTAACAACATTTGTAATTTTAAATTACTTGTTTAATTAAATACAAGAATTTATGACCTAACTAATAAAACTTATAAAATGTGACACGTAGAGTGTTGTTTAACACCACTGATGCGTATAACTTCTACAACATAAAAACATAAAAAACGAAGTCTTTGACTTTTTTTATTTTTTATATAATTTTATCCATAGGTAAATTTCAATTCCATTCACCCAAGTTTTATCCAAAATTCTATTCATTCACGACTTTGTGTTTTCAGTTTCGATAGACATCAACGCCAAACTTCAAGTAATTGAGCAAGTATTCCAAACTGTATAAAACATGAAGTGCAGGTGGGAGCAACGGCTCGCGACTTTTTGGGAACAGCGGCCCCCTATTGATCAAAATCAATTAAATCATTGAATTTTAATCAATTTTAAATTTCACCATATTGTTAGATTCTTTCACTTGTTGTTCCCAAACTGACCGAATTTTCTTTATTGCTAGTCATGCCATAGTTGATCTCCATGTAATGATATGTTCATTAAAACTAGAAATAATAAATTTATTGTTGTAACCATTCCTTCAAGATTAAAAAATTAAAACACATTTTTTAACACTTTATTATATAGCATAATGATAAATTGACATGCCACGCACTGACTACATAGAAGATACCTTGAGGTATGCCTATCAATTAAGCCTTTTTTTTTTTTTTTTTTAAATCAAATTGGAAGGCGACATGTGACACAGTGGTGAAATGTGTAAACAAATTGAGATTTAGTGACTCAATTGAGGTTTATCTTAAAGCTTAGTGACCTGGAGATGAAATTTACCCATGTATAAATGCGGACCGGGGCAATGCTAGACCGTGTGGTATCCACTTCATGATTAAGGATGCTAAAATCGTGGGGAGCTAAATCACTGGATTCATGTAAAATGCTCTCTTATTGTCTTGCGTTAAATCAATTTTTATTTTATTTTTATTTTTTTTCAAATTTATGTTTAATCACAGATTTATACAATAAAATATTTCACTTGTAAGTTCAAAACTTTACAATATAATAACATATTCTGTAAAATATCTATATCCCAGAATTCATTTTCCACACAAATCTCATTTTGATGAGAGACGAACAGGGCGTAATAAAGCTTTGTTTGAGCTTCATTTTTCGGGAGAATAAATTATGTAATAGTGATATTTTGTAGAACATGTGATTAAAAAACATGGAAAAAAATTTGGACTTACATATAAAATTCTTTTTCCATTAGAATTTTATTTTTAAAAATTTTTTGAAATATAATTTTATTTAAATATTTGTATTTTCATGTTTTAAGCATTATCAAAATTTTCATCGAAAACATTCAAAACGTAAAAAATGAGCTTTGAATTTTATTTTATTAGTTTAATCTTGATTTTCAAAATACGTTTTTAGAGATATCAGGCTAAACACATTTATAGTGTTTTGCAAAAATCGAAATTGAGAACAGTTCGAAAATTATAAATCAAACACATAACAAGTTTTTAAAGATAAGCTTATAACATAAAACTAAAAATGCATTTTTAACATTTTGACTATTTTTAGTAAAAATTCCGAAAACACTCAAAACATTGAAAAAAAAAATGTTTAAAATTTTTAAAAATATAAATTTTAAATTTCAAAATTTTTAATAAATTCTTGAAAATAAAATCTGAAATTCTTAAAAAATAAAATTCTAAAAATTAAAAAAATAAAAATTCCAAAAAAATAAAAGTATAAAAATTTCTAGAAGAACAAAAATCATCAAAAATGTAAATTAAAAAAAGTCCAAATTCTTAATGATTTTTGACATAGAAATTCTAAAATAATATTTAAATAAATATGGATAAAAATATTTTCGGTAGAGAAAAAAATGAACTCAATAGCCTGTTTGGCCGGGATTAAAATCTAATTTTAATCTAACTCAAAGTTAAATAATTAATGTTAGCCACATCTTTCATATGTCTCACAATTTTTCAATTACATATCCTAAAATTTTTTATTACAATTCATTAAAAAATATAATTTTAATCTCCATTGAAGATTATGTAACACTCCAAACTAAAACCTCAAATACAAGTTAAACACAAACTAGATTGTCCTTAAAAAAGAGACACAATAATTAAAATTATCCTTCAACTTTAATTCGATTCCTCCTCTCTTTTTATCTCTTTTCTTTGAGTCAAAAAGACGGTGAAGCCTCAATGTCACACACACACACACACTCGGAATTCCATTTGAAAACGACAGTAAATAGCAACACGAAAATGGCTAAATGGATTTTATGAGAAACCTCTACTTTTTTTAATTCAGTTCTTTGTCCTTTTTCTCATAAGTTTGGACAAAATTTCTTGCCTTTTGAATTCAACATTAAACACTCAGTTTTCAGGGTGAGTTCTCGTAATCTTATTCTGTATTTCTTTTCACATTTCTGGTAGGATATTTTTTTTAAAGGTTTAATTACGTGTTTGAATGTACTGTTTCTGTTCATATGCTTAATCTTGCTTTTGCCAATTAGACTTTTGGATTTTTTTTTTTTTTTTGTGTAAAATATTGATTGTGTGTAATTTTGGTTCAGTTGTTCTTTTCCAGAGTTTTGTTTGTCTGGCCTGAATCATAATTTTATATAGTTGACCCTAAATTGGGTTCCCGTCTGAAATATTGAAGTTTAGATAATGAGAGTGGAGATCTTACCATCACATTATATGCAGTCTATATCAAAAAATTTTGAAAATATATTTCTTAAAAATTCTCCATTTATTTTATAATAATACTATTCGTAATCAGCTACAGTAATAGATATCCTAAGTGGTATCTTACACTACGGAATTTTAATAATTTTTAAAAGGAATAACTTTTAATAATGTTATGCCACATACAATGATTATTGCAGTTGCTTACTATGAATAGCACTATTCTTATTTTATTACCATATAATATTGAGATCTACAACTCTTGATATCTTCACAACGCGAACATATCACATGAACTAAATACGCTTTGATCTCAGTTTAAAATAGAAAACTTGCAAAGTTTCAAGCTTAAAATTTGAGTCAACTCCAGCTTATTTTTTATGTTGTAAAATAATTTATTAACTTTTTTCCACAATGCTACTTGTATTTATTTTATTTTTCCTGGGCATGGGTTTGTAGCAATATGAGAGTATCTAAGCTTCACTAGTTTATTCCTGAAATGGCTGTACTTTCTAATGCTCAGCATGAATTGAAATATTTAGCCTATGTTTGGCCTTTATTTTTCCAAGACTCATTTTCAATCCTGCATTCTCCCATAAAATAATTTTACATAAAGACCCGAAACTTTTCCTTATTTTTTAACCATACATTCTCCAAAAACATCCCTATGCCAAAATACATTTCCCCCCCAAAATGGGGCTCAAACAGGGTGTTATTAGCATGATACGATAGAGCACTTCTGTTCTCAATTTTTGTTTTGCTTAGTCTCATTATTTATTTCTTGTTGCTTCAATGATATCTGGCTTGTAACTAAGCTGGAATCAACAAATCTTTCTCAAAGCCTGAATTTTGCAATCCTTTCATGTGGTACTTAATCCTGCAGAGATCTTCTTCTGAATGGGAAAATTTCGGTTGACAAAATCTGTCTCAATACTCTGGCATTGTTCAACATTGATTTCTTCATTTCTATCTTTCTAGTAGTGGTTGAGATCAATTACCAAGGATGAACATGTTGAATTAGGAAAATTTGATACAAAAAGGGATAGTTTTATGAATTGTCACTTTGTTTAAGGTTCTTGATAAGCTGCAAAACATCTTTTATATTGATTTATCAAATTCATGCTAGATAAAAGTGATGTGTTATTGTCGAGGTACAAGTCATGGTTATTAAACGAAGAACAGACTGACTAGTTTGGCCCAAAAACTGATGAACTGAAAATCACTCAAGCTAGGGGACCACTCAAGCTGATGCGTTCTTTAACTTTTATGGATCTCTCTCTACATAATTATTGTACAGTATGAGATCCAGAGGGATTTCTGGAATTTTGGTTTCTACATCTCCAATCCATATCCATATCTGGAGATGGCCACAAAAGATTGTACAGCAGCAGAAATTAGAACTGATACCACATCCTAAAAATTTTGACTGCCACTCTGCTGGGCACTCATCTGACAACCCACATGTGAGGTTGAGGAGGGGTAGTATTCCTATGATGAAAGTGATTGGATGTTGGGAAAGATGAAGTTTGTGTTTCTAAATTTTCATTTTGGTTCTCTGAGAAAGGGGGTAGAATTGTCTTTTTAAAATGATTCATAACCACTTGTGAACTACATTAGGATTCAAGGCTTCTTTTCAGCAGAAATTCGACGAGTTGCCTGTTAGCTACAAAAGTTTAAGTTTCATTACTTAAACGACAATAATTTTTGAAAGGGACCAAATGTACCAAACTTAACGGAAAATGGGTTTCGTGGATGTTATTTTTCCTATTAAAGAGAGACAAATAAGAACCTAGAGTAAAATAGAGCTAAATCCATATCAAGTTTTGTTTGTACCTTGTTTCTTTTGAAAACAAAGATGTGCTTCAAATTTCAATATATTTGTTTCACTTTCGCTAAAACAAAAATTTGTAGCGTTGTGTGTGAAGAAAGAACGAGAACTTTAACATTACCTTTGTTCAAGGCATAATAAGAGAAGAGCACTTGGGACTTCCCAGTGACTGTGACAGGTCTGACTACTAGTATTTCGAAGGCATTTCTACTTGTTATTTATTCTACAGTTAAAATGAATATATCTTTTATATACCATCAAAAAAGACAAAAAGAAACTAAAAAAATCTGAATAACGTTACCAGTATTTGTATTCTCTGTGTTGTTTCACGGTATTTTTTATTATTTTTATTATTATTATTATTATTATTATTGTTGTTGTTATTATTTTTCCCCCTTTTTTGAGTTTATATAGGTCACAGGAAATTTTTGGTATGCCCTGTCAATTAATGTTAAGATTTGAATTGGGATTGTTTTTACTACTGATTATGACGTTTCTGTTGATGTCCAGTAATAATTACTTGTAATTTGTTTTAGTTGGTGAACGTCCAGTAATAATTACTTGTGATTTGTTGTAGTTGGTGAAGATGCCAGAGATACAGTTGGGTTCCCACACGATAAGATCTCATGGAGCTCAAGTAGCAAGAGTCCACATGCATGATTGGCTTATTCTACTGCTGCTTGTGGTAATAGAGATCATTTTAAATATAATAGAACCATTTCATCGATTTGTTGGAGAGGAGATGATGACAGATCTGAAATACCCATTGCAAGACAATACTATTCCCTTCTGGGCTGTTCCGGTATGCTGTCTTCAAGAAACATTGCAATTGAAAATATTGTATGTGGATATACTCTTAGGAGAAGTCATCTTTGTTTTCGTTCTCTGGTGAAAGTTTTATAACCATCGCTCCTTTTCCTCTTCTAACAGATCATTGCAATAATATTGCCTTTCATTGTCATTATTATCTTCTACTTTATTAGACACGATGTCTACGATTTGCACCAAGCTATATTGGGTATTATTCTGTCTTTTTCCAAGTTATTGTTTTCCCCCATATTCCCGTTAAAGGTGAATATTATAGACTGCAATAATGTTTACTGTATACTCTGTCAGGCCTCTTGTTTTCTGTACTTATTACTGGTGTTATTACTGATGCAATTAAAGATGCTGTTGGTCGTCCCCGTCCAGACTTCTTTTGGCGTTGCTTTCCTGATGGAAAAGGGGTGAGTCCTCATGGTTTAACTTTAAACTCTGGTCTTTATCTTTCTCAATCAATAATATCTATGTGTGTTGATAGGTGTTCCATGCTGTCACGAGGAATGTCCATTGTACTGGATTGAAGAGTGTCATCAAAGAAGGACATAAAAGTTTCCCTAGTGGACATACTTCCTGTGAGTACAATCATCACATGCTGTTGACTTTGTTGGTATTTGTAATCTGCAATGTTTGCTTATTTTTTTTAAAGTCCATTTGAAGTGCTGTTCATATGTGGTTGTACCTGAATATTCTTAACATTGGAAATGTTGTTGAAGTATGACATATGAAGTACTTGTATACATTTCATATATGTGTGTATCAATCTGATATTTTATAACAATGTCCTGCTATGTATAAACTTCATTATATATCTACATTCTTTAGTCTTTATATAGATATACATATATATGTATTTCCCATCCATGTCTTTATATTAGTTAATTAAAGTTTGAAGCCATCTTTATTATTGCTCTTTCAGCTTTAGTCTAAGTTAATATTTGTGTAGCTGTTTTGATTCATTGCATCTTATAAATTAGTTGATTCTATTAACAAGAAATTTCGGTAAAATGGAATTTGGCTTTTTCCAGGCTAAGCTATTTGCTGTGGTCAACTTCTGTAGAAATGTTTTTTTTGCTACATAAATTATTTTATTTTTTTGGACAGGGGAATTATAGAACAGGGGAACTCCCCCTAAATCTGCCCCTGTTACCGTACATCTCTTTTGAGAAGTATCTATGAACTTAGCCTCTGTTTGAGACCCATTATTTCCAAAAAAAAAAAAAACTCATTTTCAATTTAAATTTTGTGGGCCACGATGCAATGCATTGTTTGAAAGATGTTTGAAGATTGAATGCTTCAATTGACTTTTTCATTAACCAATTTTATAGTTACTTTTTATATTCCATATTTACATCCCCTACCCCTTTTGTATCAGTAAGTGTACAGTTCGCAACAAGTAATAAAGTGGAGTCCGAATGTTCTCTTACAGAGGTTGAATAGTTTAATTTTACCTAACTCGGCCTTAACCGAAACCGATTTGTCAAACGTGATTTGTAACTTAAACTAAATATGCAAATATATATATGAATCGAATGACCTAAAATGCAAAATGGATGTTTGAACAAAAGTTTGGTGTAATTAATGAATATAAAACGCACTAGATCACGAATACCAAAGTAATGCTCACTCTTAATTCTAGTTTTACAATTTGACAATACGTTGAATTTTTGAAGAATCAATGCTCCTAAATCCATCCAACAATCTTTCGAGTAATGTTGAACCTACTTTCATATACCACCAGCCTATTACGTATGACGGGTGCAAATATACAAGAATGCAAGTGATTTTGTGAGCACTTAAAGATTCACGCAATGCATAGAGGTATATCTCTTTTCACTATCGGACCCTACGATGATTTATACCCGTCGAACTTATTTCCCTTATCTCGAATGCATGAAATAAGTCATCACACACACACAATTGGGTGCATATAATCATGGAAGAAATTAATTGTATATAAACCATTCAAAGAATTCAATAACGTGTTTTAATGTCAATATTGTAAAACAAGAAGTCAAAAATTCACATTACAAAGTTCATCGATCTCCTAGTACATGAAAACCTAGCATTGCTTGGAGAAACTAACTAAACACACAAGAACCTTAAAGAAAAAAATCACCGATGTAAGAATTGGCGTATAATCCTGTCGATCTTCGCGTTTCTCTTCGTTATTGTGGTGCAAAATCAACTCCAAGATGTATTATTTTTTCTTCCAATGCATTCTCTCCCTTTAGGGACGGCTCTAGGGTTTTTAAATACCTCTAAAGATTTGTTTCTATAAGAATTTCAGTCAGGATGGGAAACCATATGTTTTTCACCACGATTGGCCAGGGCAGTCGCCTAGGCTAAAGTTTTCGCCTCGGTAATTGTTCCTTAATGTTGGGCAGTCGCCCAGTTATAAAAATTTCCGAATGTTGTATTTTGATTTCTGAATTCAATTCTTGATTCTTTTAGGTCCTCTCTTTTTTCTTCTCCCAATACTTCAAGTCCTCACTAAATTTGTCCATAAGTTTCACGTCGTCGTTTTTGCTTTCGGTTCATCTTTTGCCTATTTGCACTTTGGTCCCTGAACTTTTGTCTTCGTCCGTTTTGGTTCTTTTTCGTTTCTTTTCTCTTGAATTTCGCCACATTCATCAATATAGTCATACAAAACAAAATTGCATAGAATTTAGCCATATTCAACCAATTTTATTAACGATTAGTCATGTAATGTTTTGTAGATTGAATAAGTGTGTAAGAACACACTAATCACATCCCTTTTGTTTTGTATTGGTATGATATAAATGTTGAACCAAAAATCGTTGCCCCTTTTTTAGTTCTTTAAAATAATGATAGAACCATTTTTTTCTTTTTTTATTTCTTTAAACCAATAAAAGTTTTGTTTCTGCCCTTTTGCTTTTGTTTTGTCTTGTTTTGTTTTGTTTTTTTTTTTTTTTTTTTTTTTTTTTTTTTTTTTTTT